AAAAAATGGGGGGGACCCCAAAATCTGGGACCCCCAGGACATCAGTGGGGCCCCCCAGGACATGGAGGACCCCCCAAATTTGGGACATCAGAGACCCCCCCCATGGACATCGAGGACCCCAAAAATGGGGGGGACACCCCGAAAATTGGGGAGGGGGACCCCGAAATCCAGGAGCCCGAAAATGGGGGGGACCCCGAAATCTGTGACCCCCCAGGACATCGAGGACCCCCCCTGGACATGGAGGACCCCCCAAATTTGGGACATCAGAGACCCCCCCATGGACATCGAGGACCCCAAAAATGGGGGGGACACCCCAAAAATGGGGGAGACCCCAAAATCTGGGAGCCCGAAAATGGGGGGGGGGACCCCGAAATCTGTGACCCCCAGGACGTCGAGGACCCCCCGAATTTGGGGCATCAGAGACCCCCCCATGGACATCGAGGACCCCAAAAATGGGGAGGGGGACCCCAAAATCTGGGACCCCCCCAGGACATCGAGGACCCCAAAAATGGGGAGTGGGACCCTGAAAATGAGGGGGAACCCCAAAATCTGGGACCCCCCAGGACATCGAGGACCCCAAAAATGGGGAGTGGGACCCCGAAAATGGGGGGGACCCCGAAATCTGGGAGCCTGAAAATGGGGGGGACCCCAAAATCTGCGACCCCCCAGGACATCGAGGACCCCAAAAATGGGGGGGACACCCCGAAAATTGGGGAGGGGGACTCCAAAATCTGGGACCCCCAGGACGTCGAGGACCCCCCCAAATTTGGGGCATCAGAGACCCCCCCGGACATCGAGGACCCCAAAAATGGGGGGGACCCCAAAATCTGGGAGCCAGAAAATGGGGGGGACCCCGAAATTTGCGACCCCCCCAGGACATCGAGGACCCCCCAGGACATGGAGGATCCCCCAAATTTGGGGCATCAGAGACCCCCCCATGGACATCGAGGACCCCAAAAATGGGGAGGGGACCCCAAAAAATGGGGGGGACCCCAAAATCTGGGACCCCCAGGACATCAGTGGGGCCCCCCAGGACATGGAGGATACCCCAAATTTGGGACATCAGAGACCCCCCCCAGGACATCGAGGACCCCAAAAATGGGGGGGACACCCCCAAAAATTGGGGAGGGGGACCCCGAAATCCAGGAGCCCGAAAATGGGGGGGACCCCGAAATCTGTGACCCCCCCAGGACATCGAGGACCCCCCCTGGACATGGAGGACCCCCCAAATTTGGGACATCAGAGACCCCCCCATGGACATCGAGGACCCCAAAAATGGGGGGGACACCCCAAAAATGGGGGAGACCCCAAAATCTGGGAGCCCGAAAATGGGGGGGGGACCCCGAAATCTGCGACCCCCCAGGACGTCGAGGACCCCCCGAATTTGGGACATCAGAGACCCCCCCGGACATCGAGGACCCCAAAAATTTGGGGGCACCCCAAAAATGGGGAGGGGGACCCCGAAATATGGGACACCCAGGACGTCGAGGATCCCCCAAATTTGGGACATCAGAGACCCCCCCC